TTGTGCCCGGCATCCCCTGAGACTCAATATTGTTTTATGATTAAGCAAGAGCACGAATTTTAAAGCCAGACTGCCTAGATTTTTATTCAAGCTTTCCCACTCATTAGCTCTGACATTAGGCAAGTTAATTAAGCCTTCTGTTTCCTCACCTGTAAAACAAATCCACCTCACAGGGTTGCTGTGAAGACCACAAGATGCCTGAGGGTAATACACTTAAAACAGTGCCTCTCACAGAGTTCAATAAAGCTACTTGATATATAGTAATATATCCAGTTGCCTACATAAATGTATACTAAACATTCTAAATGTACATGATGAAAGCTGATTCTAACCACCAAATATCCCCCAAAAATAATCTCCCCCAAATCTTCCACATCTCAGTGGCAACACTAGTCTTACATTTGATGACAAATTGAAATTATAATAATCACAGTTCAGGCATACAAAAAAGGAGTCAGGAAGCCACTGATGATCTGATCTCAGGCACATCTCTGCCCCACTGAGAACTTGAACTTTCTTTGAACTGTACCAGACCCAGGGACACCATCAGTGGCATTCAGAACAACACCTGCTAGCTGCAGCCTTACGGTCTCAAAGTTTCCCCTTGTAACTATATAACCATTTCAGACCTCAACCAATCCTACTTAACAAGCATCCTTACCTCTTGCCAGTTCCAATTATAATTCTTGATAAACAACTCATGTAACTGTAACTTATTGCCTTTATAAGCCTTCCTCACTTTGTAGTCTGGTGCAACACAATGAAAGTGCTTCCTGAACCTGTGTTCTCCCTCAGTAAGACCCTGAATAAAACTAAACTTACAACTCTCACGTTGTGTGTTTTTCTTTTAGTCAACGCAGTTATGCAGGCCAATAATCTCAGTGTCAACATGGACTCGTTTCTCTCCAGTCCATCAGCAAGTTACATAGGCCCTACTTTAAAAATATATACAGAACCCATCTGTTTCTCTCCACCCTCCACTATCACCTTTATACTTGGGTTATTATAGTAGTCTTCTTACTGCTTTCTCTTCCTTCCACCTTGTCCCTATTTAGTCTCATCACAGTAGCCAGTGATCCCATTGACACAACAGAAATGTCACCACTTCCCTGCTCAAAACTATCCCCTGGTTTTCCTATAGAGCAAAGTGCCCTACAACATCTGTGCCCCACTCTATTACCTCTGTGATCTCATCTACCAATCTTTCCTTCACTCATTCAGCTCCACATCTCCAGAACCCTGACCCCTTGTTGTTCCTCGAACGTAATTTCACCTCAAGGCCTTTGCACTTGCTGCTTTCTGCCTGGCTGGCTCTTCATCCAGATATTTGCCTGGTTTGCTCTCTCACTTTCAGATTTTTATTCAAAATTAACCTCAGTGAATCTTCCCCAACCACCCTATTTAATTCTGAATCTTGGTTGGCACAGTTGATTACCCTAACTTTTTTTTTTTCTCCTTTTCCTTAGTACTTATCACCACTTAATGGTACTAGTACTAGATAACCTATTTACACTTATTGCTTATCATCTGACTCCCTCTGCTAGGATGTTAACTCCATAAAGGAGGAATCATTGTTCACTGGTAGATCTTAAATGCCTACAATAGCACCTGGCACAATTAAATATTTGTTGAACTACAGAATAGACCTTTTTCAGCAGTGGATCTTGCAGACCTCAGAACCTGCTGAATTCTGGTTTCCTAAAGAATGGAAATGTCTTAAGGGCAGGAATTGTGTCATATTGTCTGTATCTCCAGGAACTATGATAATGCCATTGTTCCAGGCATGTTAAGGGCTCATTGCTTTCCTCATTCTATTAATAAGCCTGTATTTTTTATTTTCTTCAAAATAAGTCTCTAAACCTACTGACCCTTTAAACCACTGTTTCTGAAAAGCATGTGTGTTGGTGAAGCATAACTTGGAAAAGCATGTCCAGTATTATGACACAATTTCATACATGGAAAATTAAACAAAAATACTGTTATTTCTAGATTACAAACTACAGAAATTAAAAGTCCAAGATGTCTTCTTAGATAGTAGCTTCACAAGGAAATGTAGTTATTCCCTAGGAAGGCTATTAGAATTTCCCAGGTAGCACAAGATTTTTATATTTAAAAACTGGTTTTAAAAGTTTTAGAAATATATTCCAAAACCCATCTTCCCTGATGATGCAGCATGAAGTAATGAATAAATCCTGGCTTTGAGTAACAAATTGAGGGAGGCTGCAGCTCAACTTACTCATGCCTGTTTCCTCAGTCTATCAACAGAACCTAAAACCAATGTTCTACATAATATTCACTCCGAAGTCTGTTGAATGAGCAAACGAGTTCCAACTCTGCAGAGCTGTCAATTTAGTTCCAGTGCTTTTAACTGCTTGTACTCAGTTCCCCAGAGGGAAATGTTCTTTCAGGAACTGATTTTATTTCCAATATTTGGAATCTGATGGGTTTAAATCCTTAGTCTCCCAGTTACTAGCTATGATTCCTTTGGGTAATTAATTTTTCTGAGATTGTTTTCTCAAATATAAAATGAGATTAAGAATCTCTACTTTAAAAGAGTATTCTAAGGATTAAATGTAACATATAAAACATATTTAGTGTAACATTGGCATAAGGATGGACATATAGATCAACAGAATAGAACAGAGCCCAGGAATAAATCTTACATATACGATCAGTTGAATCTTTACAAGGGTGTCAAGACTGTCAATGGAGAAGACAGTCTGCTCAAGAAATGGTGCAGGGAAAACTGGACATCCACATGCAAGAGAATAAAGATGGATCCCTTCCTCACATCATATACAAAAATTAACTCTAAGTGGATCAAAGACCTAAACCTAAGAGCAAAAACTATAAAAAAGTCTTAGAAGGAAATGAGAAAGTCTCCGTGACACTGAATTTGGCAATGATTTCTTGGATATAACACCAAAAACACAGCAACAAAAAAGAAAAAATAGATAAACTGGAATTCAAAATTTAGAAGTTCTATGCCTTTTCAGTTAAAATATAGGCAAACTTATTTTGTACTTAGTGCACTTCTGGTAACTTTAAAATACAATGTCAGAATTACTCAACAAAGTCACAATTTTAAAGAGGTGCCTTTTTCCAGAGAACACTGTAAGATCCTTAAATTATGATTGGAACAGGCCTGTCAGAAGCAACCTAGTGGAAGTCCAAGAGATGCCACGGGTGCCTAAGGCCAAGGTAGGAGGTATTGTATCTATTACCCTTTTAACTGTGTAAATACTAAATCACCCCTCTCCTGAACCCAATGTAGGAATAAAAATATTGGGGCAATCCCCACTCATTAAAGGACCATGTAGTATCCTCTAGTTTCCCAGAGCAAGGTCTTTCTCCCTTCCATGACAGCACAAGCTGATGGGGACTTCAGCCAGCCTGTTAACCCCTTCTCACACGGGCCTTCAAAACTGGCTACCTGCTACAACCGAACATTGTTCACTGCTCCCGGGAACACGAACAATGGTGAAGACTGGAGATTAGGACAAGCAGGGGATAATTTCAGAGACAAATTCCAGACCTTAGCCACCCCTTGGTATTTTGGAGGGAGGTCAGAAGGAACTTTAGCCTCAGAGAAAAGCTGCCAAGTAACAGGCCCAGTTCTGCTACCACAAACATATCCTATCATTTTGGCAGGAGCCGGGTCTTTATTTTTTAGCAACAGCAATTGCCAGGAGGTAATACCACACCATGGCTCAAAATCATTCAAAACTGATATATTAAAGATCAAATTCAGAGACTGAAAGGTAATTCAGAATTTTCAATGTCTAACTTGTTAAAATGAGATTGTACAAAAGTAACAAAGTTGAAGACAATCTGTATATTGAATTTCTCCAACCACAATGTAAGTTTCTAGAGGGCAAGGACCAGATCTTCTGTTTCTAAGCTATTTCTATGTAGTGCTCAATAATATGCTTTATTCACCATGGGCCTTACTCCTGATGAGCAAAAGAAAGATCAAGCCCTCAGAAACAAGGAACAGTGGTTCCATCAAATTATGGTTCTTGTGAAAGGGGAAAAAAGATACTGAAAAGACAGAATTAAGGCCAGAAGAAATCTGAAGCCATGCTACTATTCCACAAGGGGGCAATATTTGACCACTAGTCATCTGGACATGCAGCAGGCAGGGCAGTCTGCAGCTGCTTACTTTTTTGACACCGTGCTGAGGGCTGCAGTCAGGGTGAGGAGGGTGGGCCAGCCACCCCTGCCTCCTTCAGCACTCTTCTACAGGGGTTGGCATCAACTCTTCTACTACCAGGCAGGGCTGTCAGGGGACAAAGGCCAGGGAAACACAGCAGGAGAGCGAGCAGAGCAGCTGGTCTTCCCACAGCCCCAGCTGTCAAGGGTAACATAACCAGGAGTGCCTCTGGAGGAGAGGAAGGGGTGGTAGGAGGGGACCACTACTTGGAATCTCTTTTGAGTTCTCTAGTGAAGTGAGTCGAAAATTTTTGTAGGCACCAGAATCATTTGCAGGGATTGTTTAAATAGATTACTGGGTTCCAACCTCAATTTCCAGTTCAGAATGTCTAAAAATTGGGACCCCTAAATTTGCATTTCAAGCGATTTCTCAGGTGATGCTGATGCTGATGCTGCTGATCGGAAGATGACATTTTGAGAACCATGCTGTAGGTATCTCTGGCTCTGTGCCCTTCCTTAACACTCCCATTTCCTCTTTTCTACCATTCATCTGATGCTTTCTTTTCCACCATTAACCTCCATTAACCTCCTTTAGGAACACCAAATGAAAGACAAAACAGGAGTAAATATCAGGATTCCTTTGGGCAAGGATTCTAGCTCTCTACTCTGGCTGATGGGTGTTTCAGAAGCAGAATTTACTCCAAATACATACATGTTTCCTCTCCTGCCTTTTACCTAATAGTTGGGAGGCAGTTCAGAAAAGAGGAACAGATGCCTTTCCAAAAATAAAACCTTGCTTTGGGTTTCAAAAAAATTGGTTAGAAAACAGTAGATATACTCCACCACGCTTTAGAAAATTTTTCCACCTCTTAGACTTATAAAAAAATTATAGTAAAATTTACCATTTTTATCATTTAAGTGTACAGCTCAGTGGCATTAAGAACATTCACACTGTTGTGCAACTATCACCACCACTTATTTCCAGAACTTTTTTATCTTCCCAAACTGAAACGGTGGTCAATAAATAATTTCCCATTTCCCCACTCCCAACACTAGCTCTTGGCAATCGCCATTCTACGCTTAGACTACTTTTTGACTCGGTTTCTTTGACTTCATGAAAGAGAGAGTCCACTGCTGACTAGTGGGATTGCTTCTATACATGCAGGCCTTCTTACACGTATGTGATTGAGTTTATTGTAGGAAGGTAAGAGAAAATGGGGTTGGAGAAAGAAAAGAGGTGGAGACAACTGGATAAGGGTTTTCACACTGGGCCTCCTATCTCCAGGCCTCAGCAGCCCTGCCATGGATCCGCCCGATTCTTTCGCATCAAGAAGTTGATCTTGCGAGCCATTTCCATGTTGTAGATTCGCCGGCAGGTTTCATAGCTTTCCCTCTGTCGCCGACGGCAAGGCTTCTCGTAGTACCGCCGTCGTTTTATGTCCTCAATGAGCCCATCCATGGTGAGGATCCTGTATAAAGACAATGAAGTTAGAGCCTTGGGCTCATTATAATTTTCCAGTTTCACAGTGGTCAGAAGTCAACTCATCAAACAATTGGTGTCTATAAAAATTATGGTGTGAAATACAGCATTAACTGCCTACATATACAGGCCAGGTCTCAAATAGTAGTATGTGAGGGGGAAAAAAGGCAATTAATTTTACAGTCTTTGTTCTTGGGGAATTTATAGTCATGGTCTTGTTCTCAATCGTTTTTCTCCCACAACACACCTGAGGATATTTGAACTGTGAAGGGTAAACAGGCTGCCCTATTTCCATACTCCTTCCTTACACCAATTATTGTCCTAAAACATAAATTGGATTGTGTCACTCTGATGTTAAACAATCTTTCACAATATACAAAATAGTCTAAGCCAGTGGTTCTCAAACTTGTCAGCATATTAGAATCACCCAGGGACCTTTTAAAAATTCCAAATCCTAGACCACACTCCAGGCCAATTAAATCACAAGTGAGGAGGGACATGGGCAGTGTTTGTTAAGTTCCTCAGGTAATTTCAATGTGCAGATAAATTTGGGAACCAAGTCTAAGCTCAATGCCCTAAACAACTGAGCTCCCCACTCTCTCTAGCTTTATCTTTAATAACTTGCCCTACAAAGCCTTTGTCCAGTCACACTGAACTAGGGGCAGTTCTCTGAAAACACTACGTATCTATTTTTTTTACCTTTGCTCATGATGTTCTCTTAGAATATGATTCATTTCTTTCTCAGTTTCATAAAATCATTTATTTTTCAAAGACCCAAATCAATAGTTACCACATTTGTAAACTGGTCCAGGAGAAATTAACTCCTTCCCTCTGTTCACAAAACACAGTGGTTCTCAAACTTTAGTGTGCAACAGTCACCTAGAAAACTTGTTAAAACACAGATCACTCTGCCACCTTCAGTTTCTGATTTCATATTTCCAGGGTGGCGCCCAAGAATTTGCAATTATAACAAGTTCCCAGGTGATGTTGCTGCTGATGGTCCAGGGAGAACCAATGCCACAGCATGCTATTAATAACGTTCAAAGCACTGATCAGATAGTATTATATTAAGCATGTTTGATTTTTTAATCTTTTAAATCTCCCTTACAGGGTTGTGTGCTTTCTAAGGTTAGAGATAAGTTTTTTTTCATTTTGGCATTTAATATAAGACTTGGCAGAAAGCAAATTATCAGTCCATGTATGACAAAAACGAATCCTCTATGTGACTGACACACATTCACAGTTCACGGGATTAGCTGACTTTGTAATAGACACAGTTCTTGGAAATATTAGCTCAGAAAGCCTCAATAACATTACCTTCACTAAAATGGCACATTAGTGTTTAGATAGCATTTTACACATCCATAATGTCAATCATAATTCTACGAAAATGACTAAGCAGGTAATATCATCTTTTTACAGATTAGAAAGCTGAAGTTCAGAGAGACTGACTTGCCCAAGTTCACAAAATGGAGCTAGGAGTAAAATTCAGGTCTTTAGTGCGGTGCTCTATAATACCACTCTGCTTCTCAAACAAAAGCCACAGAGATTCGAAAGACAGATGACTGCAGTGCCCATGGGCAAAGGAATGATGAGAGAAGAAAGAGCTGAGCCAGTCTTCTTAATTAGAGTAAAAAGATGCAGGCCAAGAAGACATGGCATACTGAGGGAAACGAACTGATCCAGTATCTAAGCATTTATTTCTGTCTAGACTTTGTTTATTGCTGTTTAATGAAGGCTACTTTTTGAACTAGAAACAAGTATATTAGAAGGGAAAAAAAGGGAAAAAAAAGTGCCTGAAAGGAAAAGATTGGATATATAATTTAAAAGGGCTAGGAGACTGGATTTGAAGAGAGACTATGAAAAGAACAGAGCCCCTGGATATGACTTCACCCAGGAAGAGGATCCTACTGGAAAGACAAAGACAGTTTAAAAGTAGGATGAAAGAAAACTGCAGAAGGAGGAGAGCATTTAGACACATACTAAGGTACCTTACTGGAGTTTCAAAAGGTTCTGAAACAGAAGTGATCATCTTACCAAGTAAAATGTCTATGTGGTCAGGCAGAAAAGCAAGACAAGAAAAAAGAAGTAACAGAAGAATGTAAGAACAGAGGAGGGGAAAAAATGAAAAGATCAGTGGCCCCCAACATAATGATGAGGGTTGCTAAATGGTGTTCCCTCTATGGTTCTACTTCCAAAATGCAAACCAAGTAAATTCTAAGATGCCAGGTGGGGATTCCCTTCCTTACCCTGCACCATCTACTTATCCTAAAAAGGCATAGATCATCTTCAAATGCTCTAGAATCCCTGCAGTAGAGGCAGCTACTCATTTCTAATAAAAAGGATGCTGGAAGAGCTTTGTAGAACTCATGAAGCAAACAGAGAGGGTATTGACTAACAATAATTCTGCTTCCAAAAGTGGTTCAACTAGCAAACCAAGACGTTTAGAGTAAACAGATCAGCCTGTAGTTTGGGCGCCTGGCAACCCAACACTGAAATCAGCCGCCAGTTTTAGTGAAATTCAACAGATTATGTAAAAGGAGCTGAGCTGCCTGGGCTGGGGGAGTTCGGGGGTGGCAGACTCACATGTCAGTGTAGCCAGCCTACGTCAGGACCAACGTGTCCGCAGAAGGACTCAATGGGCCTAGAAGCTCGCCTACCAAGAATAAAAGGGGGTCAACTGGGCACGCTTCCAGTATGCTTGCTTTTCCTTGCCTGGGGCCCAGCCAATCACGCAGGGCTTCCTAGCAACCTCTACTCTCCATCTCCTCATCCCAGGGCACCAGTGACGGCCCTTGGTTATATAACAATCATTTAGCGGCGGTCTCACTGGGCAGACACATAGGATGTTTCCTTCGTAACACTACCTCTGTGCTCCAAACATGCTAAAGCTTTAACCACCTTCCTCTCTTCTCATTTGCTCATACCCATTGCAGTAATTAAACCACAGAACATGCACCTTATTTTTAAACTTCCAACTATCAGAAAGCTGAGAGAGAGGAGGAGAAGCCTGGGATGTAAGAGAGAGATACAGAAAGGATAGCCTGCGGACATTAGGGAAAAGCAGAGGAAACGAATAAAAGTATCAGAAAATACTGTGGATGAACTTGGAGGACATTAAGCTAAGTGAAATAAGTCAGAAAGAGAAAGACAAATACTATATGGTATCACTTATATGTGGAATCTAAAAAATATAACCAGTGAAAATAAAGAAGCAGCAGATATAGAGAACAAACTAGTGGTTACCAGTGGGGAGAGAAAGGTGGGGAGGGGGTATTACAGGGGCAGACGATTAGGTACAAACTATTAGGCATAAAATAAGCTATAAGGATATATTGTACAACATGGGGAATATAGCCAATATTTCATAACTATAACTGGAGTATAACCTTCAAAAATTGTGAATCACTATATTGTACACCTGTAACACATAATATTCTACAGCAACTATATTTCAATACAGGAAAAAAAAAAAGACTCGGGAAAAAGAAAGAAAAAAAGAAAATACAGTGTTTGACAGATAGGAAAACTGGGACACTCCAGAACCAGCATGTGGACATTTGCATACTCAAAAGTCCTTGCCTAGAAAATTATTCTAGAGCAAAATATTTGTTCACTTTTTTCCCTGAGGTGAAAATACAATTTAAGAATATACAGCTAACACTCCAAGATAAAAAGGAACAGAAATGCAGCTTCCAGAGGAATAAATCTAAATTGACAAAATACGTATCCTCCCCAAAGATTATAAAAATCACTGCCATAATACTTGCCCCAAGCTGGCTTTTTCCAACCATACACTTCTTGCATTGCTTTCCCAGACAATCCCAGCCACAAGCTTTGAATTTTCTAAATGCATAAGGAAGCCTAAAAGAGATCATCACACACCTCAGGCTCTGAATCTATGGGACTTGAATCTCTTCATTTATTTTTTTGCCTAACCACTCCTCTTCTTTCTGATCAAATTCTTTTCTTTTTAAGCAATGTAAATAGTTTTCCCCAAAACCTATTCCTACATTGGTGTTTCAATTCCTGAAGTGAAGAAAAAGTAACACCACATTTCTTACCTAGGATACTTGACAAAATGCCAAAGAGTACTATCCAAAGACAAAAATCTCTGGATAAATTTGATGTATCTGCCTAGAGGACCAACTTTTATTAGAGGAGAAGAGGGAGCTCTAGCCCTAAAACAGATGTAATGGCAACAGATTAAAAAAAAATCATCTAAAATTTTAATTAAAAAAAGAGAGACCTAAACAATAATTTAAAAAAAAAAGTAAGTAAGAAAATAAAGAGACCTCAAAGAAATTCCATATTTGCTTGTAGTGGTCCTTCACTCTCCTCTGCTGTTAAGGATACTTTGGTAGAAAAGCTTGACAAACACTAAAGTAAGGGAGTGACAGAAGATAAAGGAACATTTACATTCATTAAGTAGACATTATGGAGAGCTTTCTCTGCACCAGGCACGTTGGTAAATGCAAGGGATACATAAGTGAAAAAGCACAAATCTCTGCCCTTAAGAAGCCTATTAAAATCTCATGGGACATTTTTAAAAATGCTTCTGGCCACTGCCTAGAGACTCCGGGCCCTGGAATCTTGAGTTTTGTAGGGTTTTTTTGTTTTTTGTTTTTTTTAAGATTCCCCAGGTGACTGGTAGTCAGGATCAAAAACCACATAGTGTCACACCAGTCTCTTGCTGTTTCTGACTAAAATTAGCATTTCTACCCAGGAAAAAAGTACGTATAAAGTGCTATCCAACTATAAAAAAGAGAATCTTAAAAGAAGTATGAGGCTGTTGTTTTAACAAAAAGGAGGAAGGGTGGGAGGGAGGTAGGAAGGGAAGAAGAAAGGAAATTAATTTAAAGATATTTGAAAACAGATTCTTAACAAGAGATAGTACTATGCAAGGCCAGATGGCAGAAGGTATCCAAACATGCCTCACTTTTTGCCATTTATTTCTTCTTCCCGGAATCACCTACACCCACTCCGTACCTGGGATCATCAGGAAGGATTTTTAGATAAACTTAAAAAAAACAGAAAAACAAAAGAAAAACCAGGAAACGCAAAACTCTAATGTTAATGAAAAAAAAGAGGTATTTCCTGAATAGGAATTTTGTAAGAGACAGAGATACAGATTTGTTTCTAGTTAGTTAGACTAATCCCAGACAAAGAAATTGGAAGAGTCCTCTCTCAGAAGGTGGAGCTGGCCTTCTGCTTTCTGCAGACCAGGTATCAGTGGAGAGATGATCAACTCCTTCAGGCAGGAAACTAGAAATATTCTGTTCTCAGGTTTCTAAATTTTTGAAAGTGGAAATGGGGAAGAGGGAGCAGTGCATACAGAGGGAATAAATGCTGTTATTTCTGAATGAGATTAGCATTAGGCTATGGAGAAGGAGCCTTGGTTGGAAAGTATCACTGTCTAGAAGAAAAGTCATTCCAATAGCAGCAGCAAACTAGATCGTCATGACAAAACAAAGCTTAATTATTCTCTCATTTTTTCACCTCCAGGCCCCCTTGAGCATAACTTGATAATCAAGATAAGAGACAAAACAGTTAAAGCAAACTGAATCTTTCAAAAAAAATCCACGAGGAAACAAAACCACAAGGGTAAAAACTTCCTTCCAGTGACTTCCAAATTATGGCAATAGCTAACACATGATGCCTACTATGTGCTAAGCACTGTTCTAATTCATTTATATTACTATCTTAATTCTCACATCAACCCTATGAGGTGGGCACTATTGACAGCTCCACTGTACAGAAGAAGAAACTGAGGCAGAGACATTAAGTAGCTATTCATAGCTCATGAGGCTAATAAGTGGCATAGCAGGAATCCGAACCAGTCAGTCTGCTTCAGAGTCTGTGCTCTAAACTACTAAATTATGCTGCCTCATTTATGTGGGAAAACTATTTTCAGGCCTGGCTTTGGTAAAAAGAATTAAAGCTGTAGCTATTGTCTTGAAACAATTATAAGAAATGGTTCAATAAATAATGCTGCACTACAAATTGTTTTGGGTTCTGTCAAAGAGCTGATTCCCAAAAACAAAATTCTTGTTTTTGTGTTATTTGCACTTTTGGAATAGGAGAGGTGAAGGGAGCTAAAGCTGAGCCTTTGGAAATTTGTTCTACCATCAAGTAACAGCTGCCCTTTGACATCCCTCAACAATATAAACATCTCAATCACCCTGGTTAGAAGACCCACTTAAATCCACCAAAATAAATCATACAGAAAGATTTACAGGGAGAAGTCAGAAAATGGTGACGTAATCTGCAAGACTCCCTTTCCCAAAATTCAGCATTTCATCTCACTAGCTAATTCACTATAGAGTCTGCAAAGATAGTCATTTGGTGCTCCCAGTATAGGGGCAGAGGAAGATCATTAGATCATCTCAACCATTCCAAAGACATGCCACTTAAAGGTCTGAAATAGGAGAGATGGGAATGAGCAGTGATAGAATAAAAATGAAATAGGATTATCTTACTACCCTGTACTTAACTGATTATCTTTACTTTCGATGTAAGTGAAAATGCAAAGGGAACAGCTTCTGCCCAGGGGTACAACTGACATGCACTGATACTGAGTGAGGTAATGAGGCACCTTAGATCAGATCCTTTGAAAAGACATACAAACCATCCTGAGCCTGCTTTTCAATTACACAGCTTCTGAGAGCATCTTTGTCCTCATTTACTACAGTCTTCTGCCATCCAGCCCTCCACATCTAGAACTCTTTGTTAAGAACAATGTTCTCTTACATTTACCTTCTCAGTCCCCAAGAACCCTACCTATCTTTAAACCCAATCACATAAGGATTCCTTAACCGGATAATGACTGCCATAGGTCTCTCCATTTCCAGAGAAACTAGTAAATAATCTAGTAACACAGAGCAAAGAATACTGCACTAGAAAAATGTGTGTTTTATGCTTCTTCCACCATTTGGTAATTGTGTGACCCAAGCAATACAATTTTCTTTTCCGAGGCTTCTCTTATTTCTGAAGTAAAGTTACCACCTTAGTGGCCTTAAGGCAGAGGGCCAGCTCACATATTAAGATCTCTTTCACAAAATTATTTGATAATTCAACTCAAGAAGCATTTGTTTCTCCAAACTCTGCTTCACTGGGGAGAGAAAATGATAAATGAAGCATGCCAGAAAGTCAAAACCCTTATAACTAGTGATAGGGGAAGATAAAGGAACTATCTGCTTGAGAAACCATAATAGGTAGGCGTTCTTTATTACGGTCATTCTAAATCTTAGCTTAGGATTCAAAACCTTTCAATACAGCTCCTCCACTCCAGTCAGTTCATTTCCATCTATGTGTTTTTGCTTACGCTGTAAACTTTCTCTGAACCTGTAACACTCTCCCATCTTGCTTCTGTAAGACCCCAAATACGAGCTCAGCTTTTCCATTAGCCTTGTCCTACATCAATCCCTCACTCAGCTTTCTGTATACCATGTACTATTTTCCCGCTTCCTAGCAACTTTATAACTTGTTCCCTTTGGGCTCTTTTAAAAGTCTTGGGTAGAATTCAGGTTCATCATCAAAGGAATGAACACTAATGAATAAGCTTCATACAGTCGGGGTCTGGGAAGAACTTCAGTTTTAAGGTACTAAACTGAGGGGCTGAGAAGTTTCAAGACTGTGAACACCTGGGCTGGCACTGGTTTGAGACAACCTATGACGGGGAAGGCAGAAAATAACCACTGCACTTCCCAAGAGAGCTGGTCTAGGCATGATTCTGGTCTCTTACCAGTTACCTGTTTAGGGTCCTGTATGCACCTTCCACGTTCCCTTCCTGTACCATCACAGTCCTGGCAATGAACTTCAGATGTTTTGCCATGACCTTGGATTTAAGTCTTCAGTCTGCAGCACGGAGGAAAAGGGAATAAAGCACAGAACCCAGGTAAGAAAGATAATCACAAGAGAACACACACTGTACCGCGTGGCTTATTCAGGGTCTGGAAATGCAACAGGCTCTGGAACATGCGATACAGGGGCACTTGCAAGTCCTCATATCCTAGAAAGTACACGCGAATCGTGTTCAAGACTCCCTCGTTTTCTTTACCAATATAAACCCTACTATAGGGAAGAAAAGAGATGGTAGCAGGGCGTCCCCAGTTTTGAGTCACTTGGCCGAGCACGGGAGGACCGGGACGCTCCACAGGCCCCTCGCCCCGCCCCATTATCGCTAACGGTTCCAGGAGGGTTTGAGGTGGGAGTTGGGAACGGAGCCTTTCTCGGGGCTTAGGAATGTGGGCAACCGCCTGCAACCGCGCCATCCCGCCACACTCACCTTCCTTTCGCCAACTTGGCGCAGGGACCTCTCACCCCCCACCCCTCAGGGTCTAGCCGACCCAGAGCCCGCCCCGACCGGAAGCGGAAGTTGTGTAATCTCCAGCGCAGTGCAGACACTGAGGCTGAAAGGGGAGGGACGTTACGCGGAAACCATGGCAACCTTCCCGGCCCCGGTTGACGGTTTCTTTTCTCCGCCCCCCACGGCCAAGTTTCGAGCCTGGACTCCACACCTTACAAAGTGGAATGCTTGTTGTCTTAAATTCCCCCCAAACAAGTTTTTCGCCTTCTCGTGGAGTCACTGTCCTTCGGCCTCGGCCCCTGAGGTCAGCTCGAAGGGATTAACATGCCCCTTAATCCTATGAAATGCGAAATAGATATTTAATCCATTTCTTCTTCTGGAAGGAAAATGAGGGAAATAGGCGAAGTTCCTGAGCATGCTTCCTGTTTTCCCTTCCAAAGGACACAGATTCTTTGAGATCTGACTTATGTATGAAAAACAACTTCACACCCCTCATCTGCTTAAAAACTAAGGAAAATAAACGAAATAAATATACCATGAGTTTTCTATAATACGACCTGCCCAGCCATTTCACGAAGTAAAGTGAAATCACTAAAGAAAGAATTGGAAAAACATCTGCAGGATTTAGAATCAAAGATTCTTTTATGTCAACTTCTATCCCATTTGTCTCCTAGTGAGACTTAGTAGAAATAGCTCCTTTTTAAATTTCTTCCTCACTGTGGAAACAGCTTTCCTTTTATTTGTGTGTTACTTCTACATATGTATCCATTTATGCTTATTCACATAAGTTCACATCCTCTGGGAGAGGCTACTGGAAAACAGTAAGAAAAGGCTCAAAAGGTCCCAACCAGGTACTTAACACAAGGTTCTTAGAGTACACACAGGCGCGCGCGCGCGCGCGCACACACACACAGATGCAGCCTCATCCAGTATGCTAATGGAACTCATGCAAAAACTGACGCCTGCTTTAGAGTAAGCCAGGTTCAAAGTATCAAAATAGAGCTAGGCTGGGACATAATTATGTTTATTGATAGACTTTTATTGAATGTCTACTTTGTGTCAGAAACTGTTGATACCACTCTAGTATCTCTTGGACTTCCAAAAGACAATAAGTAGCCGTAAAAGATAAATAGTAAAACAAGATAGCATATGCAAAATAAATTACATAGGCAACAGCATAAATTGGTGGAAAAGCACTGGGTTGAGGATCAGGAGATCTGGATTCTATCCAAATTCTGATATTCATCAGGTGTATGACCTTAAACCAGTAGTCTGCAAAGTACTGCCTCCAGGTCAAATCCAGCCCCACTCTTGTGCTGTTTGTTTATGTATTAGGTACGGCTGCTTTGGGCTACACTGGGTAGTTGCAGCAGAGATGTATAGCCCACAAAGCATGTCTGGCTTTTGCTGACCCTTGACTTAAACTATCAGTCTATTTTCTTATCTGTAAAATGGAACTAATAGTGGCTTTTAATCACACAAAGTTTGTCATGGGAATCAAATGGGATAAAATATAAAAATACTTTGGTGCTCGCTTTGGCAGAACATACACTAAAATTGAAATGATAGAAGATTAGCATGGCCCCTGTGCAAGGATGACATGCAGATCCGTGAAGCACTCCATATTTTAAAAAAATACTTTGAAAGGAAGGAAGGAGAAAAGTAACATTTCTAGAGCCTGCTATATACCAAACCTTGTACTAGGCATTTTATGTAACTGATTTCATTTGATGGGGTAAAGGGCCAAAGACTAAGCACATATATCATGTTTAGTGGGAGAATAATTGGGGGAAGGACTTAAGTTAGTCATTGAAAAGAGGGCAGGGTTTAGTTAACAGAAGCAGGAAAGGCTGGGCAAGGTAAACGGCATGAACAAGAGTTTAGAGGCAAAAAGGCTTACAGTGTTCAGGGGCAAATAAATAAACTGGAACAGGAAAATTATGCAGGGGAGTAGAGGAAGAAACAGATTTTGACTAAAGGTTTTGGACTTTCTTCTCAAAGTACTGGAGAGCCAATGAATAGGAAATGACATGCAAAGCAATGTTCCAGGAAAATTAATCTAGTTACCAGTGAGAAAGTATGAGAAGGAAGAGAGGTTATTGCCATAATCAAGGTTTAGACCAGGGAGGTGGCAATGGAATGGACAGAAAGAAATGGATTTTAAGAAACATTCCAAACACAGAATAAAAAGTATTTGGTGACTATAAATAGCACCACATTTTAAGCCTCATTATCTACAAAAATGATGGTACCATCGATAGCATCAATAGAAGAAAAAGAGACTGTAAAAAAGCAGAACAGGACATCTCTAAAGGAAGGATAATATTTTGATTGGTGAACACCAGAAAAGGCACCTGGCTGGAAACCAAGAGTTCCGTACAATACATTGTATTGTCTTACACAAGCTCCCTAAGTTTCCTCATCTATAAAATGAAGGGGTTGAATTAAATACAAATGGTACCCTCTTGGCTCTAAAATGCTGCAATTTTAGATAAGTTTTAAGTGTTAATAACATGTAAATGGAACTATCCAGCAGAAATGGAGACATTCAGTATGCCATCTCAGGGGAAAGGCTGGGACTGGAGATAAAGCTTCAGCTATCTTCTAAGTTGAGGCAATAATTAGAGCCATGAAAGACACGAAACCTTGAAGTGAAAGAATGTAGTCAGAGAAAAAAGCCAAGGACTGAGCCTAGGGCAACACCTACACTCTGGAGTGGGCAGAAGTGAGGCTATTAAGAGACCTAGAAGTTGTTGCCAGATTGGTAAGAGAAGAATTGGGATAGTGTGCTGTCATGGGATCCGAGGGAGGAGGGTTTCAGTAGGCTTTACCAAGAGCATCAAATGATAAGAGAGTATGAAGTACATAGCCTTTGTAAAGGCCCCTGGACCTAGCTACTGATTGGATGGAGGAAGCTACATTATAATACTCTGATTCTATAAGATCACTGGTAACTTAAGAAAGTGTAGTAGAGCTAGGCTGCAAGAGTTTAAGGACTGAGTGGTAAAAAGGAGAAAGAGTACAATTAGACTACTGTGTCAAGAATTATGGAGAAAAGATGAGAAAGGGCAAACAGGTTCAAGAGATTTCTCAAGAAGGAGAGACCTGATCACACTTGTAGGAGAAAGAAAGAATAAACAATTCAATAACAAATTGATGTTACAAGATAAAGAGAGGATAAGTGATTCAGCAAAAGTTCCAGAGGTGAAAGGTAATCAAAACACAAATGGAGAAGTTTGCCTTAGAAAGGAGGTCATGCTGTCTGACATAAAAGGAGACAATAATTCACTGAGAACAAAGGACTTGAAAAATAGGTGAAAGATGTAAAACTAGCTAAGAGAAACATGTTAAGTAGCCAATAAGCAGTTAGTAAAATGACTGAATAGTCTGATACATTGCCAAGGCTTAGGATAGGAGAGGACATGGTTTTGGTGGAAACTGAGACAAGTCAGAAAGAGTAGTAATACATGGAAAAGGGTAGATATAGGTAAATTCACAGTCTTCATTTTTGCCTCCTGATGACACTGGGTAGCACCCACTTAGCAGCTGCAGCTTTTTGAATAAGGATGAGGCCCAGTATCTGAGGGGACTTCCCATTCTGACGGATTTAAGGCACTCCTTCCTCTTCAAAACTGGCAACCACAAAGGCTGTTCTGGCTTTTGTACCTCTCCTCTGGCAGCAGTAGATTACATATGCACTCATCCACAAGCGCCAACAGCTCGCAACAAAGCAAAGAGCTACCCCAGAGCAGTAGAACCTGCTAGTCTGGGCCAGCTGGAAGATTACAAGAGTGAGAGACACAAAGGGAAAGGTACTAGTCTCTGAGCCTGAATGAAAGAACAAACCCAGCTCTGCCTCAAGGATCTTCCCTAGAAAAGATAGCAACAGAGAGTCCAATTTCTTCTACCATAGGACGTATATTGTCCCATCCAGACTTCTAATCTGGCGAGCGCATGTTCACAAACATTCCCATCCTCTTTTTTCTGTTCAGCTCAGAAGATAAATATTGTTATTGGAGGCAGAAGGTTTAAATTTCCCCCACTCAGCAAACTGTTTAGTACAAAATTTCTTTAATCAGAAAGGATTTCTCTTCCCTCAACACAGATACACACATTAAAAGTAAAAAAAAAAAATGCAGGAAGACATCTATTTACACAAATTAGAAACTACGATGCTAAGTCCTGGATTAGGGGTTGAGAGGGTAGACATCAGGAGCAGCTGGCGACTGCCTTCCCATCTGCTCCAGGTGTCCCATGGTCATCGCTCCAGTTATGGTGGGTAGGCCAGGAGGGGGTAGGGTACAGTTCCAGTCTGATGGCAGAGTCACTGGCAAATTGTGGCAACAAGGCCCCTCTCCAGATAGTTTCTTAGGTTCACCAGGGATGACAGGAGATGCTGCAGCAGATGGAACTGGAGTGACTGGAGCTGACTGGGTGAAGGGCTGTACTCCATGCTGGAGGAAAAGGATGACACCAATGCTGGTTCCAGTGCCTACAGGACCATGGCTAAAGGAGATGGTACCTGGAGAACTGAGAGGGGGATTGCAAATTGGAGTGGTGTGGATCCAAGTGAGATTCATAGTTGGCCATTCAGTGAGGTGCCAAGGCTGCTTTGGTTTCGATACTAGCTTCCCTAGCTGTGTCTGGTCCATCTTTTCCATGAAAGGTGTAGAAGAAGACGCAATTGGGTAACCGTGGTGGTTTGGAGAATGCTAGGGATGGGGAGAAAAGAGAAAAAAATCATGTGAGAAAGTTTTCAGATCAACTCCACTTGGTTGCTTAAAACTGCTTTCCTTGGGAACTCTGCAATGCTGGCATACTTTCTTTTATGCAACAGATAAGTTCCTGCCAAGCCATGATTAAGTAAAAGTTTTGGTAACCAAAATGTACTTTCATTTTTTAAACAAATTCTTGAGGGCTTACTATGTACCACACACTATATAGGCACTGGATATCCAAATACATACAAAGTAAAACAAACAGTCCCATACATTCTTATTTATAAACTAATTCATTTTAGAACTTCTTTCAAGAAAGTCTACTTAAAAATTTTTCTTTCAGGGGAGGAGATAATTGGGTTTATTTATCTATTTATTTTAATGGAGGTACTGGGGATTGAACCCAGGATCTCGTGCACGCGCTCTACCACTGAGCTATACCCTCCCCCGGTAAAAAGTCTATTTTTAGTTGGAATAATCACTTCCCAATTTCTGTATTTTCAATTCTAATTTCATATGCTGAATTCCTTAAGAAGTATAAATTAATATGCAGGCAAGATCCTCCTGCTTATTTTTAAATCAATTATTCCCAGAGCAGTAATAACTGTGACTGATTGAAAACAAGAAGGACTGTCCATTGTCTACAGAAGACTTTCTCCTCTCTATCATTTAAGTGCCCCCTAAATACTCTATTATTTGAAGGCACAGAAAATAGATCATTCCACACCAGGTCTAAGAATCTTTCCAGCACTCTCCCTATGGGTGCCCCATGGGTGATACATCTCTTAGACTTCCCAGCGATATACATCTTATGACCAGTCCTCAAAACCCAAGCTTCCACAGGGACCCAAGAATACTTGTGCAGGTGTAAAAAGAGGGAGAGGAAAATGGTTTTAGGGGAAGCAGGGGAGAAAAGATTTGCAGGGAGAAACTGAGGACTCTTCCTGCATGATTCAACTGGCCAGGTGAAAAGCCCCCTGAATCCAAGCAGAAAGTGGATAAGCTGCAACAGGAGGGATAGGGTTAGACTTCGTGGCATTCTGCATGATGATCCAAACAAAATAGAACCAAAGAACATCTAGAAACCAAGACAATGAAGGAAGTTCAGACATTCCCTTTCCTGAAATGAAACTTGTTGAAAAGATGAAAGACCCCAAAGAAAATGGAAGAGGGAGCCCATTTCTGCAGGTACACTTCATTTCTTTGGCTATTTCCCACCTCTTCCTCAGGTTTATAAGTTCTTACCTGGGTCAGCTGGTGCCTACTACTATCCAGCGATGACTTGTGGGCAGCTATATGAGGAAACCAAGTCTTTAACATCCCTTCTACCTGTAGCAGGGTTCCTAGATAACGCTCTCTATGAAAAACACATTTAAAAAAAGCCATTAGATGTGAAAACAGCAACAGGACAAGATTGGAGACATCTCCTTTTTAAAAAAATTTTTTTTATTCAGTAATAGTCATTTTACAACGTTGTGTCAAAGATATCTCCTTTTTTTTATGAAGCACTGAGGAAAGAACCAAGGGGACTTACCCCATCTGTGGCTTCTGCAAAACACCTACAATACGCTGAATCCTGTCCATTGCCACGCTCTGCTGGAAACTGCTCAATCCTGGGGTCAGTGTGAGAGAAAGAGAGAACAAGAATTGAGCTGTAAGAATTTAGTTAGGTAAAGTAAGGTCAGAAGGGGGTTAAAATTCATGCACCTAAAGAATTTAAGTCACAGAAGAAAAAAGGAATCATCCATATCCCAAAGACTTAAGAAAAATGCACATTTAAAACATATTTTAAAAGAGAGAGAGAAAGAGGGAGCTAAACCTAGCTCAAATGAATGGAACTAACCAGATAATTACCTCTCTCAAATCGACCCATCTTCAGCCCATTCAGTAAGTCTGTGAGAGGGCGTATGAATCCTTGGAGCTCTTTACACTGCCGAGAAACAGGACAAAAGGCATGAGCAGACCAAGAATTGTTCACACCAGTACTGATTCTTCCATCTCCAAATCTGGGAGCCAATACTATCCTCATAGGGTCCTTACGAACCACCTGGGTACTAAATCACTCTGGTCGTGTCTCCTTTCTCCAGTTTTCTCTTACCTTCTGAGCAAAGAGCAGGTCTCCTTCTGTGGTACACCCCTGGATGTTTAGACAGATTTCCAGTTCACCGTCTCTTGATCTTTTGACCCCAGATCCTGACATAGAAGAAACCAAGCCCCGCTGTTCCGAGCGAGATGCTGTACGTCCGTTACTGGAAACCTTGGGTCGTTGCCTGCAGCGGATAGGACCGGGGCTGGGCCAAGAACCTCCCCTCTGCCCAACAGTGTCTGGCTTGGGGCCATGGGCCCACTTGGCTTCCCCCTCACTATCGGAGGGAAAGCCAAAGTCATTGTTCACTGGGGAGGTGGAAAAAGAGGAAGAAAGAGAGTAGGAAGAATAGGAAGAAACGCTAGATGGAGAATCCATAGGGCAGCTCCCGTAGTACCCAAAGATGGGGACCTGCAACTGAAGAGCAAAGCGAGGGCGTTTGAAACCAGAATCTGAGGATTAGGAAACGGACTGGGGTGTACTGTACGCGATAATAATATCTCTTCTCTCCCTCCCCAATATTACCTGTCTCGGGGACAATAGAAAAAGTCATCTTCCCACCTCTTCCCCTCCGTTAAGAACCTGGACTGCCCCTCTGGCCTCCACAGAGCAGCTGTGAGCCTGACACAGACTGTTCTTTCTTCCCTCAGAGTAAATTACCTGATTTGACACCTTCCCCCAGTTCGTCTGCTCTGTTCCCATCCTGTCCCCGCAGCGAGCCTCTCTACCTGAGGTCAAGCTGCCGGCGAGCCGAAAAGCTGCGGCACCCGAACCCACCTAGGACCGCACCTCACACAGACCTCTGGCCACTTCCCAATGTTTCTGATCAGGATCCCTGCGCCGGACCACCTCCAGTCGCGCCTGTCACGTGATGCGATCCCTCGCAATACTCAGATCTGCGTTAGGTCCCTAAGCCCACTCCCTTCGGATCTGATCCCCCTGCACGAATCGCTCCCTGTTCTGAGTCTCCTCACCTGTGTGGGTCGGCTTAGCCCAGGCTGTCTCCAGATCCTTCTCAGACTCTCGGGTCTCCGCTACCCACCTCCGCCTCTCTCCCACTGGGTCCCGCCCCTTCCCCCTCCCAGACACGTGCAGCTCCGCACGTGCCTTCCCCCTGCGTACACAGACCTCGCATCCTCATTGGTTGTCTAGCCGGTGGCACGTGACTCGCGTCACTGAAGTTCACATTCCATTTGCTACAGCATACAGGGGCTCGGCCAATAGAGAGGCAGTCAGGTGACGATTGGTTGGAAGGTAAGCATTTCGTGCTCCGCCCCTACATGCGGCTAGCGAGGAGGACCCCGTGGTGAGAAAAGGAGGAGGATGGAAAAAGAGTGGAAAAGAAGGGAGGGGAGGGAAAGGGCGGAGCCTGTGGCCTTAAATAGGGTGGTGGCGCGCCTGGAGCGGTGCAACTGGCGTGTGCAGACTGGTTGTGCGATTTGAGGAGTGAACCTCGAGACTTGGGACTCCTGGCTCTTCCTTGGAGCCGACCCCTCTGCCCCCTCTTTTAGAGCCTCATCTCACGAGTGCAGCACGTGGAAACCATCAGCGAGTTGCGTCAGCAACGTGTGTGAGAGAATGGATGTGTGCCACTGTATATCCTCTCCCCGTCTCGGCAGCTCACCCCTCGTGATTCCCTGGTCTCTGTTTCACCCTCCCCTCCTCCTGCAAGCTGGGTGCCTCCTGCCCTGCTGGGTGAGGAGGGTGGGGACTGCTGCCGAGAACACCGCGTCCTCTCTCCGGCTCCCGCTGGGGCGGCTCTTCTAGTCCTTTCCTTACATAACCCTCCACGCACGTTACCAGCTCAGATGCCAGCCCGCCAGGGCTCCAGAGGTCAAAGCCCAACTCGGTTGTTCCTGACTTTTATCTGGGCTCCTCGGGCCCTGCGCCCTGAATTCTGTGTTTCTTAGAACAAGAAACGGAAAGGCGAAAGTCCGTGATCTCCTAGATTATGCCTTTGTTCAGTTTCAGTTTCTTCATTTGTCCTCTGGAGATTTGAAGGAGGGAGGGTGGTCCAGAGTTTACTATTCACTGCCCCTTGCAGTACTGAGAGCACAGTGAAGAGAAGGGGATAGGGCTCAGGGACTTGTGGGCTAACTGAAGCTATAATATCAAAGAGACCGCAAGGGGGCAGCCTAGTCCTGATTAGGGTGTCAAGGAATTGGGGGGGAGGGGAGTTTGTCCCTGTATGCCCTAATTACAGAGAAAGGTACAGAGTTAGGGGTGGGAGGTGGAAGGCGGGAGGTAAGCGGAGGAGGGTGTGAATTTTAAAAATCTATTTTAAGTACTTTTCGATATTTTACATATGTTTAACAATGTGCTTATTTTATAAAAAGGAAAAAGGGTTCTACTAAACTTCAACTCTCTTCCTGCAAACACGCTATCCCAAAACCATATATTATAAAGTGAAACAATAGAACTAGAAGTAATCATAAGCTGTGAATAAACCTGTTGTTTGTGGGTACTTTTCTCCATTCTTCCCAAAATTTCAGGCTTTTTTCCGAGTCCCAATAATTCCCTCTAGTTCTATTGTCACCTAAATCCCTTTCTAGCCTACCCTACCAACAGCCATATGCTAGCGCTCTCTTCAGTGTTGTGGCTTCAGAACAGACTCTCACAAAGGAGGAGAGAATAACCGGATTATTTCATGTATTTATTTTATCTTCCAATTTCCTCTTCCCAAATCCCCATCCGAGTTGTAGCAGCCTTCCCTCTCCTAAATAAAGAAAGAGGAGGAAAAAAACAGAATAAGGGGACTCAGGAAGCCCCTCCAGCTCTCCCACCTCTATAGAAACTCCCCAGATTTCATATTTTAAGTTAGATTTCCCCATGACATCTACTAAAAGATGTGTCCCCTCCCCTCTGCACTCCTTCCTTCCACTAAACCTCTTCATGCCCGCCAGTTATTTAGAACACCAACTTAAATTCCTTCCCTGTAATAAAGGTTTCTCTTCCCTTCTCCTCTCCTGCACCACCTCTCCCCTACATTAGAGAACCACCACCCCTTCTGCCTCTGAACTTCACCTCTTGACTCCCCAGATGGTAGGCCCCCTCCTATTTTGCCCTCTGGCACCTGCCAATCTTTAAACCGGGCCAGGCTGGGACCAGCTTTGCTTCCTTGTAGCAGACTAGAAAGCTGAAGAACTTTCTTCTCCATTGCATTTGCTTCTGCTCTAGGAAGCCCTGAAATCCTCCCAGTTCAGAAAAAGTAATGACTCTTATTACAAAAGCCTTTGCCTTGAGATCTCTTAAACCTCCTTAAAATTAGGTAAGACTTTTCTAAATGTGATCCCTCTCCCTTCAGGCTGAAAACACTAGCCAGAGATACTGGTAAAATTGCTCACAGACTCCCCCAAGACCAGTGGCTGCTGCGCTCTCACCTTCTACATGAAATACATCCCCCCCTGAACGAGGGCCCAGGACAGGAGGAGGGGAACAGGATTCTGCAGACTGGATACAGCATCGTTCAGATCTGGACCCTGCTAAAATACAGACGTCCCCCGACAGTAGGCCAGTGTCATCCTTCCTACTACCCACCTCCCGCTCTGGAAGGATAGCTATCTCTTTTTTCTCTCTGTTTTTAAGGACAGCCATCTATTTACACCAACCTCTGCCTTCTTTTCCTCTGAGCTTAGAGAAAGATCCAGCCCTCCTCCCCATTACTGTAAGGAATCCTTTCCTCTGTGCCTTTCAGCCAGTTCCTTTTTTTTTTAAATAGGTTATTACAAGATATTGAATAGTCCCCCATGCTATACAGTAGAACCTTATTGTTTATCTATTTTATATATAGTAGTATCTGTAAATCCCCAAATCCCAATTTATCCCTCCACCTCCTCCTTTCCCCTCTGGTAATCATAAGTTTGTTTTCTTTGTCTGTGAGTCTCTTTCTGTTTTGTAAATAAGTTCATTTGTGTCATTTTAAAAGATTCCACATGTAAGTGATATCATATGGCATTTTTCTTTCTCTTTCTGGTATACTGCACTTAATATGACATTCTCCAGCTAATTATGATCATACCAGGGAGGCCCGACTCAATTCAATGACTTTTTTTTTAATCTATGTACATGACACTATGCTAGTCACTGTGCTAGGTGCCATTGAGGGGGGAAATATAAATATGACTAAGACATTGGTCCTGTCCTCACAGAGTTTACAATCAAAAGGGAGCCTACTCTATACTGGAAAATATTTATCTGTCCTTGTCAATCATCAGCTTTCCAGGCCTACTGATTCCTCCCATCTGTGTTTTATTATATACAGGCTGCACTTTGGTCCTGTTGCCCTTTCTAGCTGGTGCTTCTCTTTTTGCATTACCAGATTTCTCAAATGAGTGCTCTATACTGTCCCTCCACTTCCTCACAACGTACTCCCCCTTTGACTCCACAAAATCTAGCTTTTGCTACAACCACTCAGTTAAAACTGCTTTCTTTGTGGTCATCAATGACTTCCTTCTCCTTGGCCTCTTGCTAGCTTTTGATTGATTTTATTAAACTTTCTCTTCTAGACTCTGTAATAGGAATTTGGCTATCTGCCTACCTCTTCAATTAGTTCATTCCAGTTTCCTTGGCTGATCCCTCTTTTTCCTTTTACTAACCACAGGCACAATCACTGGCCTTTTGGTCTTCTGTGCTGGCTCTAATGGGCTCATCTACTTTTGTAACTGTGACTCTGGACTTATAACTGTAGTGGTGACAGAGTTCAGTTATCTTTAGGACACCCTCATAGGGCTGTCACCATAAATTCAGGTTGGACAATACCAAATTTATAACTTCACTCTTATACCACTCTGATCTCCCACAGTTCCCATTTTGGTCAACTATTTCCCCAGACATCCATGTTTAAAACCTGTAAGTTATTTTAACTCTCTCCTCATTTATTGCTCATATGAAATTATCCCTGGAGCAAGGCATTTTCTTCAAAATATTTCTTATTCAAACTTGTCCATTCAAAAATGCCACTTTCCTAGTTCAGGCCTTTAAAGGATTGCTTTGGGAATGATGCAAATCTCATGAAACTCCCTCTCCATTCCATTGCATCCTTCATTCAACCAAACTTTTTCAAAAATACCGTTTTCATTGTGTGTTTATCACACTGAAGAACTTACTAGGCTCCCTATTGCTTATAAGTCTGAACCTCAGCCTGACACTTCATGACTCTACAATTTGGCCCTACCTTCCCATATGTGAGATTACCAAGCAAATATTAGGAGCCTTGTAAATTTTATTTCTTTTTACTTTCCCACTGTTCCTTCCCACATACCCTGTCCTTCAGTCGTACCCCATCCACTAAATATACCCTGCTTGTTCTATCCCCCTCATCTAGGCAGCTCTTTCACTCTTGGAATAACTATTCTTCCTCCTAATTGCTTTCATCCTTTCATAACTTACTGCCAATCAAAAGCTAGCTAACTAACTAGCTAACACTAGTCTTCAAAGTGTATCTCAAGCACAATCATCTCCTAAAAGTCTTCCAGACAACTCCAGCCTGTACTAATCTCTCTCCTTCCACTGCCTAAAGCACTTGTCTGTCATATGCTGTCAAATTTATACGTAATTTAACATTGTTACAAACCTTTTCATTTTGCTCTAAATGTTTCCTAAGTGTAAACTTGAATTTTATAAATACTTGGAGGGCAATAACAACATCATAGATTTCTTTTTCAGCAGCAGCAGCAGCAGCAGCAGCAGCATCTTTAGCCGCTTCGGGCATAGGTTTCATACACATTAAGTACTATTCAACTGAAATTTAACTGCACCTCATCTTCCCAGTGTTCTGTATACAGGGTTAGTGTTAAATCTCAGTGAAAGAACTGATGGTCAGGCTGAGATGAATACCTGCCTTGTAGTCCTAGTGATCTGTTTCCTCCATCCACCAAAGCCTCCCTCTGCTCCACGTCACCAGCCCTGGGATCTCCCCAGGGTATGAGATGTCTCCTCCCCCTCCCCCCCATCCCCAATCTACTCACTGATTCCACTGTCACATGTTTCACAGTTACAGGCTTCTGATGGTCTGCACGGTCTGTTTCATGACTAATGGTAGTCTCTGCTGCTTCCATTACCTCCTTATCCAACCTGTTCTGCCCTCAGCAGGATTAGGAAACGGTTATCATTGCCTCCATCCAACATCCACAAAAATTCTTTATTTAGAGTTTTTCTCTCTTTCATCACTTCTTCTCCCTCCCAACCCTTTACCCCGACTTAAACTCAGGGATCCCCCCTACTTTATGTTTGCATGAATTATGTACCCATCCACTCATCAATTCCCTTGAATTAAGGACTGCCCCTCCCTTTCGGTGTCTTAGGAAATCTACTCCATTCTAGCTTCATCCCCCGCTATAGTTAACAAATCTGTTTCGGGCTCACTTCCTGGTTTCATTTCACCTAACTAATTTTCATTCCTGTTAATTATTTAGATTTCAACATTGCCCAGTTTCTTTTTAAGTGTTACTTATTCTGATCAATTTTTAGTGGTCACTCACCAGTATGTCCTCCGACTCAAACATAGAGTAATCAACAGTGAAATTTGCACCAAAATCATCTAGGGAGGAGAAAAAAAAAATCAGTAGTAACAAAACAGGAAGGTAGCACTAGATCTAGAAATGAAAAGAGGAAAAAAATGTTCAGAATACTTCAATTTGCTCAAGGTGTAAAATTTACTGATATCATATAATTCTAATGAACTTTAATGTTAAAAATGTTTGTGAATGAAAAAGAAAAAAAGAAAAAATGTTTGTGAATGTGTATGCATTTATATTTTCAATCTGGTATCTAAAATCATTTACAGATTTGAAAATTTTCAAATTGTTTCAACCAGTTTCTAAAGGATTGGAAATCACTAGCTTGAAAAATAACATCATGAGCCTTGATAGCCTTTGCTCACAGCCAGATTTCTCTCTGACCCAGTTGCTCCATTGCAAAGGGAAAGGCAGAGTCTCAGAACTAAGCATTTCCCAAACCTCTCTCCACCCTGCAGAGGGTCAGAACCTTCTACATACTCACCATAGTTGGGAGTGACTGTGTAATAATAGACCACCTGGTAATAGTCATCTTCTTCCAGTACTTCTTCATCGTCATATTCTTGTCCTAGGGGAACAAGGACTAGAGGTCAAGGGGCATCTGGAACGTCTTAGCAACCGAAGAATACCTGCAGTTGTTCTCAGCTCTGTCACTTTCCTTCCTTTCTGCCTCTGCTCTCCTGTCTCCCTGCCTCTGCACCCCTAAGCCCTCCCAGGCTTCCAGACTCCATGTCTGTGATGAGGCCTATTACTCTGTGCCCTTTCACTCTGGGAACTCCCAGAGCAGAAAGTGGGTCCCTTCACATATCATACCCAAACTAAACCTAGAAAAGGTACAAACCAGAGAGAGACCAGATATTAAGGACCCCAAATCCACTCCTCTGTATGCTCCAGACCTATTGTATTTGTGAGAGATCTTCTCTTTACAGTGTCTCTCACAAGTAACACACACACACACACACACACACAAAGCCTTTGGCTTTTAGTTTTAGTTCCAGTTTCACTGCTAACTAGTGGAATATCTCTGAACCAACAATTTAGCATCCACTTTCTTAAAATGAGTCAGCTGGACAAAGTAATCTATCTGTATTAGTTTTTCTTCCTTCCCAGAACTAAAAATATGTGGCTTTGACGTGCTTAGATCAAGAACTACTGGCCTGATATTAAACACTTCCCTAAACTTCTTGCCCTCTCTTAATCCCAAGCAATGACACAAGAATCTGGAGGAAGAGGAAACAATAAGAGCACCTGGCAGACTGGGAACAAAGGAGGGAAGGAGCCAGGCTACTTTTGGGACGCTGTTCCTGAAGGTAGCCAATTCTCACTGGCTAAAGGCCACTCTTTCTATATCTTTACTAATACACGGTTTGCTTTTTCCATCTCGCTAAGAAAGAAGATACCCTGCAGTCCCTCACTAGTTTCACTGTCCTGCCTTCAAGGAGTCTACCTCTCTTCACTCTCACATTAGTCCTTCTCAACCTGTTCATCTCTGTGGTGATGGTGAGCTGAGTTCACTCTCGTTAGGACCTCCCATAGCTGGGGCCCCTCCCTGTCAGCTGTCTCTTCTTTGACAAAACTCTGCTTTCCTCCCCCTTTCCTGGCTCTAATTTCCAGGTCCCGTCTGAACCTCCCCGTGCCCCACTCCATCTAACATCGATGAGAGAGTGTCATCGCTCCTTATTGAACTGCACTTCTCACCCTCTCCTCATTTCCTCTCTCCCACCCCATTTATGGTGGAAGACCTGGCCCAAAAGCTCAGAGAGGGATGTGAACTTACCCAGGATGAGTGGCACAGCAAGGATGGCTACAAAGAGGACATCCATTCTGGATTCTGCACTATTGCCTTGAAAGTAAAAAAGGAAATTACAGCGTTTCCCACCAGACTTACCCCGCCTCCCGCCCTCCTCCAAAGCAGGGAGGTTGCTGCAGCCACGCTTCTCTGGGAGGGATTCCCCGCCCACTTGTTGACTGGTTAGACCATCAGTTACTTCCGGTCTGGTCCTTAGAGCTGTGCAGATCAAGAGAGGCAAAGTGAATTTTGATGGAAACATGTTCATTGAGCTCCCCTAACCCTAGACTAGATCCATTCAGGACTCCTGCCACTACCAGGGAAAACAAACAAACAAACAAACAAAACCAAAAAACCAACCAACCAAACAACAACAAAACCCCCAGGCTCCCAAGGTGTTTCCCCTCTCCCCTCCTTTCCTTCCTTGCTCCCAGTCCTCACAAAAATCTCATCCTTCCTCTCACTGTCCCTAACTTACTGTCACCATCCAACACTGCCCTTCTCTCTGGGGCTTCATCACAATGTCTTTCTTCACAGACAAAATATTCTAAGGAAGGGATAAGCATTTTTTTCCTAGACTGAGAACAGTCTCTCTCCTCTGCCTGTCTTGGACTGTGAAATATAGGAGCAATAGCAACATCCTTGTCTGACTCTCAAAGCACCTGCTGCATTGCTTCTGAGAAAAAAAAAAAACCTCTCAGTTAAGGCCAGTTACTTTCTCTCTGCTAAGTACTGACCTTACCTCACCACTTTCTCAACCTCTGCACACAGGCTGGGAGAAGGGAGGAAGCAGGCAGTCTCTTTCTCTGCTGTTTATTCCATACCCCTTCTCCCACTTTCGGTCACTTGGTGTGTTCCCTTCATTCCAGCCTTCAGGGGTGGTGTTCATGTTGTCCTTCTCTTTGCTTTTATATTTCCCATATTCATTCAATTCAATTTAGAAACATTTAGTAACATATGTGCTAGGCATAGTGTTCTAGGCCTAGTCTGATAGGCAATTCCAAGTTCATAGGCAAGGGAATAAGAAAAGAATGTAGGGGTTTTGTTTTGTTTTGTTTTGTTTTTTTAAAGGGAGCTAATAAACATCTATTCAGCATCTACTGTGAGCCAGGCAATATGCAAGTCTCAGTGAAACCACCCATGAACAAGACAGGTTTGGCGCCTGTTCTTAAGTCAGAAGATGCTGTGGTAACTGCTCAAAGGAGAGATAAGTTGTCTTTCCCTCTCTCTTCTGGCATGGTAGGTTCGGAAGCAAGACTCACTAGAGCTTGAGCACTGGCCAGGATGCTCCCACCCTCTCAACCTCATCGGGGGAGGATTTGCATGGTGACTTCCCCTGTAAATCTATAGAATCTATTCCTTCAGCTCCTTTCCAGAATTTCCCGGGGGAAAAAATGTAAACTCTTACATGAATGTACACATATGCATGGCCATGAATCTTTTCCAGGAAGGAAAGGAAGCCTGGTTCTCTTTGAACAATTTCTATAGTTTTTTGGTACGTTGATTACTCTTTCAAAAGCGATATTCCAGTTTCCCTCACTTTCTCATCCTGGTACTCTTTTGCCTAAACATCCTGCCTAAGGACTAACCCTACTCCGGTCCAAATGAGATGACAATACCCTTTTCTACTTTAATTTTCTTCCGCTCTAATATGCATTCCCTGCCCCTCCCCTCCCCCCAGGCTGAGGAAAAGACCCCACTGAGGTTCATTTTCAGAAAATAAATAGAGGAAGTATGACATAAAAGGAACTGAGTAAGCTGGAGGGAGAGGTTGTCTTTTTTCCTTCATCCCCCTCACTCTGCCTTTTACAAACAATTTTAACTCCAAATCCCCTCTAACCTCCTTCCTAACATTGCTCTCCAGGCTCCTTTGGCTTCCCTCTGATTCTCTTGTCATTACAGATGAAGGCTTCATTAGCTGTGTTGCTTGTTTCCTATACTAGCCTGTTCAAAGAGCTCCGAGTTTTACGTCTAACCTTCACCTCTTAGGCATTATCCCTAGTCCACTTCCTCTCATTCAAGTAAGAACAATACCCGTCCCTATCTCCCTGCACCCTCTGTCTTGTGCTTTCCTTGTATTTGTCCCTTAGGTTTCAACAGGATCTTCCCCTCTCTGCAGCTCTTCAAGAAGAGGCAGAGTGGCTACCACCCTTCCCCAGAAAATAACGAAAGGAAACAGCGAACAACGATGAACTGAAGCCCCGAATCCGGGCCTGGGACTAGCCCACTGGTTTAACCGGCTGGAGCCACTCCCAGGGGCGAGGTCCAGGGCTGGGGGTGGGGGCAGGACTACAACTCCCAGTAGGTAGTGCAGCCACGCCTCCGCAGCTCCGCCCCCGCCGGTCCTCCATTGGCCTCCAGGGGGTGGGGATTAGATGGGAGGTGGCCATGGGGCCGCAGCCGGGGTTTGTCCCCTCCTCGGCTTCCGTAGAGGAAGTCGCGAAGACCAGTATCTGGGGTTTCGGTGCCCCCCCCTTCCCCGGGGTCCGGGGGTGACATTGCACCGCGCCCCTCACGGGGTCGCGTCGCCACCCCACGCGGACTCCCTAGCTGGCGTGCTCCTCCCCTTCGCCTCTCTTGGCCAGGCCTCCACCCCGCCCCCAGCTACCCAGCCATGGGGGCCGCTGTGTTTTTTGGATGCACTTTCGTCGCTTTCGGCCCAGCCTTTGCGCTTTTCTTGATCACTGTGGCTGGAGACCCGCTTCGCGTCATTATCCTGGTCGCGGGGTGAGTTAGGGGCTTGGGGAGACGCGGGAGGACGCCGAAGAGAGAGATCAGAAAAGGGCTGGAGGAACTCGGGGCGAGCCTGGAAGCCTGAGTTGAGGGAGACTAGTCGGAGGTGAAGACTGGAGAGAGTCGAGTCAGGGGTCTGGGTGATGTGCCTTTTCCCGCAGTTGGTTTCCGCCTTCCAGAGATCGCACAGATTCCTCCTATACTCCTCCCGGCGACGTCAGAGAAGGCCCAAGGCCAAGATTCGTGAGGGGGCTGTGCTGACCTCGGCCGGCCCTAAGGGAGTATCCAGGAATGGATACCTCGCCCTCCTGTGCTCCTACACTCCGGCTCCCATCTGGCTCTGAAGACTCTTTAATCAGATTTTTACCCTTTCCCCTTCGTCCAGATCCCTCCAGACTCCCTTGGTGGAGACACCTATCCTGTCTCCTCCCTGTCTCCCTGGCCATCCGGAAGTCTAACTTCCACTTTATGCTGCAGCCTTAGTTGGTTCCCTTCTTTGATTTCTCTGGCTGCCCCCTACCCTTGCCTGTCTGATTGCCCTTGTCTTTTCTCAGGGCATTTTTCTGGCTGGTCTCCCTGCTCTTGGCCTCTGTGGTCTGGTTCATCTTGGTCCATGTGACCGACCGGTCAGATGCCCGGCTCCAGTATGGCCTCCTGATTTTTGGTGCTGCAGTCTCTGTCCTTCTACAGGAGGTGTTCCGCTTTGCCTACTACAAGCTGCTTAAGTAAGAAGATGGGATGGTCTGGAGGGGAGAAGGGCAGAGGATTGCAGTGGGGCAGCGCTGGGTGGTGGTTTGGATGAGGAAGCACTAAGGGAAGACATTAGAGGGAAAGGAGCTTCCTGCCCTTCCTCATGTTTCCCCTACCCCACCCCACCCCACCCCAGGAAGGCAGATGAGGGGTTAGCATCGCTGAGTGAGGACGGAAGATCACCCATCTCCATCCGCCAGATGGCTTATGGTGAGCCAAGGGACAGGGACTGGAGGAGGGAGTTGGACACCCCCCTCTCCCAGTGAAGTCTCTAAACATCCACATGTCCTAAGTGGCTTCTTGTTTTCTTCATACCTGACTTCCAAGGAGAGGAGGTCTGGAGGGAGAGTAGGTGTGGGGGAATTGTGACTGGGAATGGGGAGGGAACACTGGTAATCAGACTATAGTGACCTCTGACATTGATGAGACCCTCCCTCCCCTCAGTTTCTGGTCTTTCCTTCGGTATCATCAGTGGTGTCTTCTCTGTTATCAATATTTTGGCCGATGCACTTGGGCCCGGTGTGGTTGGGATCCATGGAGACTCACCCTATTACTTCTTGACTTCAGGTAAGATCCGTTTTCTTTCTTGCCTTCATGCCCCATCCATACCTCACCCTGATCTGAGTTATTGGCCCTCCCTGGGAGACTTCTTTGGCTCAACATCTCAGGAGGCTGGGAGAAGATGAGGGGTGTATCTCATCCCCATCTCCCTCCCTGCAGCCTTTCTGACAGCAGCCATTATCCTGCTCCATACCTTTTGGGGAGTTGTGTTCTTTGATGCCTGTGAGAGGAGACGGTACTGGGCTTTGGGCCTGGTGGTTGGGAGTCACCTACTGACATCGGGACTGGTGAGTTGGGGACAGGGCCCTGCCTGAGTCAGAGAGAAAAGAACTTAATGGTGAGTGGGATGGAGGGGAAATAAATCCTCACTTCTTAACATTTTAAAACTTATTTTGGGAGGAGGCAGAAAGGTGAGTCTTTTGAGGTCTCTCACCTCAGCATCAATTGTATAACCTGCTCTGAGGATGCTCTGGGGTAGGAGTTTGAATGGTTAGTCAAACTGTAGCGCAGATAGTCTGAGGTGAGGGGGAGTGGCAGAAACCTCAGAGGGAGCTGAAAATCACAAGTCCTCTTAATCACAAGATGCTGGTGTTCTGAAGGGAAAGACTGGGGAGCTGAGTGAGATATCTGGGTCAAAGCCACAAAGAGAATAGGGGGATTAGGCAGAGGGAGAATCTAACCTCTTTTCTCCTCTTCCTCCCATCCCCAGACATTCCTGAACCCCTGGTATGAGGCCAGCCTGTTGCCCATCTATGCAGTCACTGTTTCCATGGGGCTCTGGGCCTTCATCACAGCTGGAGGGTCTTTCCGAAGTATCCAGCGCAGTCTCTCGTGTAAGGACTGACTACTTGGACTGATCGCCTGACAGATCCCACCTGCCTGCCCACTGCCCATGACTGAGCCCAGCCCCAGCCCGGGTCCATTGCCCTCCATTCTCTGTCTCCACGTCGGTCTATTCCACCACCTTCAGGGTTTTGCTCTGTCCATTTGTGACCTTTAGTCTCTAGACTTTACCAGGAGCAGTCTGGGTTCAGCCAGTCAGTGACTGGTGGGTTTGAATCTGCACTTATCCCCACCATCTGGGGACCCCCTCTTGTTGTCCAGGACTCCCCCTGTGTCAGTGCTCTGCTCTCACTCTGCCCAAGACTCACCCCCCTTCCCCTCTGCAGGCCGACGGCAGGAGGACAGTCGGGTGATGGTGTATTCTGCCCTGCGCATCCCACCCGAGGACTGAGGGAACCTGGGGGGGGACCCCTGGGCCTGGGGTGCCCTCCTGATCACCTCGCCCTGTATTTCTCCATCTCCAGTTCTGGACAGTGCAGGTTGCCAAGAAAAGGGACCTAGCTTAGCCATTGCCACGGAGATGAAGTCAATGGAGGTTCAAGGGTAGACGAGCTCTGAGTTTCCCAGTATCCCCTCCCCAGGCTGACACCTTGGTCTTTTTCTCAGGTCTGAGGGGAACCATTTTTGATGTGATAAAGACCCCAAATTGCCTTTTTTTTTTTGAGTCGGGGGAGGGAGGAGGTATGTTGGAATTCTTCTCCCAGCCTCCTTGGACTGTATCTTCCCTCCTCAGATTGCTCCTTACGGCTGGGCTCATATCTGTCCAGCTTTCCCCTTGGTCGCAGGCTTTGGGGGAAAGGAAGGAAGTGCATGTTTGGGAACTGGTATTACTGGAACTAATGATTTAACCTCCTTGACCGCCAGCATCCCTCCTCTCCCCAAGGTGAAGTGGAGGGTGCTGTGGGGAGCTGGCCCACTCCAGAGCTGCAGTGCCACTGGAGGAGTCAGACTACCGTGACATCACAGGGAAGGAGGGCAGATTTTTTCTAGTTTTTAATTGGGGGGTGAGGGGGGCGGGGAGGTTTTCTACAAACTGTATCATTTTCTGCCGAGGATGGTGTGTCCCATCCTTTTAATCAAGGTGATTGTGATTTTGATTAATAAAAAGGACTTTATAATTGTGGGGGACCTTGGCTTTAAAGGCAGGGGATAACATGTTAAATTGAGGTTTCTGCCCTCTCATGTCTCTTGTCCAACCTCCTTCCTAACCTGGCAACCTCTGGTCCCCTCCAAGCTTGGCTTTGGCGCTGGGGCAGAAATCTGGGCTGGTGGTCAAACGTGTCAGAAACTCTGGGTTAAGTGTCTTCCAGAAGTGGATCTCCCCTTCCAGAACTGGGATAAAAGGAATTATTCACCCATGCTCTCTTTTCCCTATCGTTTGCCCACCTCTGCCGTCTGAAGCATTAGGGAACTTCCCCATTCTCAAAAGCCCCAAAGGTAAGGCCAGAAGTGGGGTCAGAAACTTTAATTTCCAAATATATTGAGCAAAAAAAACCCCCCAACAACAGCAACTCTTTTTCCTCAGGGGAGGTCCTGCACTCTATCTAGGGACAGCAATATAAAGATGAGGAGGTGGGGGACTTTGGGACACATCCCCAACATCCCCTAAGCACAGTTTGCCTGCTGCATTGTCAACATGGGGGTCTCCTGATCTCCTGTATGTTTTGAGAGGCTCATGGCTCTGTTGTTCTTCCTTGAACAAGAGCCTGTCCACACCTCTGTGTAGGGGCTGCCTGGAGGAAGGAGGGGTGTTGGCCTATTCCTACAGGATTTTCTGGCCAGTCCCAACACACCACTTTACAAGCTCCCTAATAGGCGAGGGGAAGGCATCTATGGTGTCCGAGATGGAGTCTATGCCTCGGTGGCTCGTGCTGAGGTGAAGACCACACTTTTCCGGTTTCCCAGTCTCTTCTTCCTGGAAGGGGGAATGGTTCATGGAAATGACTAGTCCTGGGGGAACAGATTAGAGGTGGAATACAAGAATGCTTTTCAGTACGAGAGAAAGGATTGGAGGAATGCAGAGTAGGATCTCACCGAATCTTTCTAACGATGAAATAAAGGGCCAGCAGAAGGCAGAGACAGCCAACCAAGATTCCCACTCCTAGACTCAGCATTTCACCTGGGAGAGAGAAAGATGGAAGGTGCCAGCCTAGGACTAATGCAGATACTGAGCCTTTCCCTGACTTGTTGAGGAGCCCCTACACACGCCATCCCCCAGTACCTGGGGAGGGCTGTCTTACCTGTGGTATACAAGGATCCCACTGTAAGGGAAGAAAACTTGGGTCAGTGAGACCAGATCCCCACCCTGGCTGGGAGTAGCACACTGCGCCAGCACTCGGGGTTGGGGGCTGGCTCGCAGTCCAAGTGAGTTCTGGAAACCCCTTCCCCACTTAGCCTCCTTTTCCTTCCCAGGGGCTCCCTGGTTCCTGCCATTGGGTCCCCCAGATTCCCGTCTCCTCCAAGCCCTGTACAGTCACCTTGGATGAAAGAAGCAAAGACTGCTCGCTGATTGAGAGGCTGGGGGGCTCGGTAGTTCCGCACCAGGAGCTTAGAAGGCTCTTCTTCTGTGGAGAACAAAGTCTCCTGGAGCTTCTCCAGCTGAGGACGAGGAGAAGAGTGGGATTAGGGGACAAGTGGCACTCGCTTGGGGGAGTGGGAAAGGGTTTGAGGATACAACTTTGTCTGCTGCCTCCCCTCTCCACCGCTCACCTGTCCTATCGAGATCTGGGCTTTTCGATTGAAGACCGTCCAGAGCACACTCTGGTAGCAGGGGGGTGTGGTGAGCGAGCCATTGTACCGGAAGAACTGCGCCAGCAGAGGGGGGAGCAGCTCTCTCACGTTGAAGGGCGGCACTGAGGTCTTCTGATCTGGGTGAGAACAGACTGGACTCATCTGCCTCTCCCTGCACCCCAGCTTACCTAGGCAGGGCTCCCAGAAGCGAACCCTCCTGGTCCCTAACTCACCACCTCATTCTAGGCCTTTGAGGCCTTTGGGGGGATGTTTCCCTGAAGTCTAACATTTCTTTGTCTTAAGGTAGATTTTTAGGGCTCACCTTTATGCCTGATTTCATGCAAGTGACTCAGAATGTGTTCATAAGCTGGATTCTTGGTCTCACCCACCTGGAAGGGGAGGAAAGGGGAAGAGAGTTTAGAACGCATCCGGGTTTGGAGTAAGACATTCGTGGGTAAGGTAAATGGTCAGAGTGGGTTGCTGACTTTTCTTGGGAGGGTGACCAACAACAGACAGGGGCAGAATAGGACTGAAGGATGCAGAGGGAGTGGAGAGAGGCCTAGGAGGGGTTGGGGGCCACTGACCTCAATCAGGATGCCCAAGACAGCCAGGCCCTGAGGCCTCTGAGCAGCCTCGCTCAAGCTATTGTAGGAATCGGAATCATAATGTACAATGTGGAGCTGAGGGAGGAGAGAGGGAATTGAATCACTTAATGTTTCTCCGCTACCCACTCCCAGGGCTTCTAGCCTAGCCGCTATCATCAGCAGCACCACCAGCATGCCCTAAATCTGTCCCGAAATGCTTGGCCTTTTCTCCCAAGTGTGACTTTTCCTAGTTTGTGGATTCTTCCTCTCCCCCGCACTGACCATGCCTGTCACTGTGTCATAGTCCAAGCTTTGCTCCCTGGTACCTCTGCAGCTGTGGCTTCACCATTGATCTGGTGCTCTGAGCCCCGCGGGGATCCTCGCTGACCCCAGTGCAGGTGGAGCTGGGCAGCTACATATTTTCTGGGAAGTCCCTCCAGATACAGAGTGGGGGGTAGAGAGAGTTGCACTGTGGGGGAAAGAGAGCGAGCTTGGGTTGGTGGAGGAATGTGGGTACATTCCAGCCCCTGGGTTGCCACCACTCCTTGGGAGACTTGGCCAGCCTTTTCTTTCTTCCTCCCCCCAGCACCCAATTTTTCCCATAGGCTTTTCCCATACTGCTTTTCTAGCACTTCTCTGCCTTTCTCAGTGAAGATCAAGTCAATGCTATGACACTAACCCACCAACAGAGCTTGCTTGTACACACACAGTTCCCACCTTTGGCTATAGGAGCCTCATCCCCATTCTCATGTCTCCAAATTTATAGATGAAGCCTTCTGAGAATCTAGAGGTTAGGAGGACGCCTCCCCTAGACTCCTAAGATTGGACCTGGAGTTTACATCTCCTTGGGGCCTGGGCTTTTTACCTGTGTGGCCATTATTGTGCAGGTCCAAAGGCTCGGTGCCAGGCTGTTCATATCCATGGGGCTGCAGAACGAGCAACTCAGGGTCAAAAGTCACACTGTCTGTCTGGATATTGATGGGAGACTGGGCATTGCTTCCACACTCAGGGTAAGAGGCTGGCCAATGGTCTTGACCATGTGGGCCTGGTGGGGGTTACCACAGACATTCGTCCTGCCCTCCTGCCCCAGCCACCCTTCAGCAACCCCCCACCAAGCTAAACCCGTGTGGAGGCAGAAATGCACTTCCGTCCAGCCTGGGTGAAGCCCCCAGCTGTGCAGGGCTGGGTGAAGTGGGACCCCCTGCTGGGCTTGCTGCTGTGGTCCCTTCACGCACCCAGCGGCAGTGATGCCCCCCAGTGCTCCTGATACATGGGGAGCAGTGGCTTTTACTTACCTGTCCTCTTGTTGGAGGATAAGAAACTGAATGAAAGGAAGAGGGGATGGATAGAAAGCCTGCACACCCAGAGAGGTGGGACTTGAGTAGGAGCAGGAAAACTGGGAAAAGGAAATGATCCCAGAGAGATAGGGTCTCTTTAGGGTCCCCATCCAGTGGCCTTAAGAGCCAGACCTGCTAACTTTCCATCATTCACTTCTTGCTCTTGCCCTGGACCTTGTATTGACTCTGGAATTCGGTTGAAGCTCAAAGGATTTGATTTCCACTTCTGCCAGGGTCGCAAACTGTCCGGCTGGTCTCTTCCTCACCCCTGACCTCAAGCTCTGGCCCAATTACAGATGCAGGTGAGGGGAGGATCAATCAGGATAGAAAGAGAGCCAGGAGAATGGCAGCTAAGCTCAGGGTGCTCCCCCCACCCCAGACCCCTTTCCACTCCAGCTCCCTCATTCCCACACAGACTGACTGAGGACACAACTGGCTTTTCTGCTGTACCAGGAGGTGTGGGATTTGATGGTTAGAATAGGGTCTAGGAGTCATACATGCAAAAGCTAGGGCATGGGGAGACTGGAAGGGAGGAGCTAGGGTGAAAGCTAAAAGAAGCCTCCCCACCCACGTGACAAGTCTTCCCGCCAGGTGAAGAGGCCCCAGTATGGAAGAGGGGCAGTATGCCTTGGGTTCGGCTCTCACCCTCGTATGTCCAGTGTTGACCTGCAAGGCAGAGTAATTTGAGTTGCAGCCAGCACGGCCTGGGGCCGGCCCTCCTCCACTGCCCCCTCCCTCTCTGCGCTTTCTCCTCCCTCTGCTCCAGCACTTCCCAAAGGAAGCCCTGAAACTGGACACCTCAGTGGAAAGGTCGGGGGGCCTATTTAAAATCACCAGCCAGGCTGCGCTTGTGCTCGCTGAGTAAAGAGGGAGGAGAAATGAAAAGAGATAAAGCCAGGAGACTAAAATTAACCTGGATCCAAATGTGCAGAATGCCCAACCCTCACTTTTCTACAGCCAGTGCCAAGCCAATCTAACACTTAGAAGATCGGGCTGAGGTGAGGGTGTAGGCAGAGAGCTTGGAGAAAGGGACCAGTTGGGAGGAGGGGAAAGAAGTTCAGAGTTGGTGTGGTGCTGCTGAGGGGAGAGAGCCATTATTCCTTTGCTTTGAAGCATTTTAAGAAGCAAGGCACTGATCTGAAAATTAACATGTAAGTTCTTCCTTCTGGTCCCAGTAACTCTAAAGGAAACTTTTCGCATCACCAGGAACCTCTGCCCCCTAGATTCAGAAGGCTAGGGAAGGTGGGAGTCGGGCAGGGTCCACTGTACGTTGAGGGTGGTGGGTGGGCACAGGCAGCAGGCTGGCAGGGACAGGATGAAAGTGAAGCATTGTGTGTGAAGAAGAGAGCTGCCAGCTGGGTCACATGCCAGGCTCTCGTGCAGTCCTGTCTTGGGCTGAAAGGCCGGGGGTCTACTGGTCCAGAACTGACCCAGGGCCAAACTGCTTCAAGAGGAAAGGGAGGCATCCTGGCAGATTGTCTCTGTATTATTCACATTGCTAGGACCTTTGGAAAAAAATTATACATTCTTTCCTTTCTCTTATTGTCTTAAATTCCTCAGACTTCTAAGATATCCGTGATCTCATCATTGGGCTCTTCTGCTGGCCCATCCCTTGGTTCAGACAATTCTGAAAAGCAGCCCAAGGGAGGGCTGGAGGCCGCCTCTCACTCCCCAGCTCAGTGGGACACCTCAATGACTCAAATTCCCTGGTTCTGGGCAGGCCGACTGCCTTGCCCTTTCCCTCCCACTAAATCTTACAACACACTAGTTCTACATCTCTTCCTCCTCTTTGCCAATTTTTTTCTTTTTCCTCAGGTGCAATTTGCAACTCTCCTTGGCTTGGTGCCCCCCTGTCATCCTCTTTGCATTCCCCCTTCTGTCCTCTAGACAACCCCCAACCCTGTTCTTCCAACGCATCTTAACTACACACCTGCTCTGTGCCGAATACTGTGCTAAGCACAGGAGTACAAAAATGAGGGGTGGGAGTCCTGGGGACACTCCTGGAGCACCTTCGCCTGTTTCCCCCAAGAGTCCCTCCTCCTCTCCTGGGAGATCCTAAAAGTCCTTTGTCAACTGTAAAGAGCCCAATAATGTTGACTATTACTGCTACTACTTTCAGGGAAAAAGCTGAGAAATTAGTTGCCACGTAGAGAACCAAGAGGGGACTTCGGCCATGAGGCTTATAGTCAGGGATCAGGGTCTGAGTTAGGAGGTGTGCGCTCCCCCCGCCCAAATCAGTCCTCTTTTCTTTCACTCCAGGCCTCTTTGGCTCCCTAATTGGATGAGTTTGTAAATAAAGAAGGCCAGGAGGGTTGCCTGGGACTAGGGCAGTGGGGGAAAGAGCTCCAGAGACTTTGTAGCCTGCAAAGTGATTCCCGCAGGGTGTGTGTACACATCCTGCCCCCATCTAGTTCGCCCCCCATCCCCATGAACGGCAAAGCTGGAAAAACAAAGGGAAAAGGAGGAAAGTGGTTTCCTCCCCACTCCTTTTTCCCCCTCCATCCCTGAGCCTATTATTCTAGCCCCTAGGCTTCCTTTTACCCTCCTCCTCCTCCATTAAGCATGCATGGCGACATGTGTACACCAGCACAGACAGACACACAGACATCCAGAGGTACCTACCCCCGTTTGCAGGCAGGATCCAAATCACCTCTAGCAGGAGGGTGAAAAGCAACATGGTATCCTCGGAAGGAGCACAAGGTACTGGGAGTTTGGGGACTAGGGGACTAGAAGACTAGGGCAGGGTGGTGGGGGGAGGTGGAGGGGAGAGGGAGGTGTGGGGGAGAGGGGGGAGAGAGGGAGAGAGAGAGAGAGAGAGAGAGAGAGAGAGAGAGAGAGAGAGAGAGAGAGAGGAGGAGGAGAGAGAGAGAGGAGGAGGAGGTAGGTAGGTAGGTAGGTAGTAGGTAGTTAGTTAGTTCTTTCGTTTCGTTTCGTTTAGTTTCGTTTCGTTCGTTTCGGTTCGGTTCGGT